GACCTTTTTCAAGTGTTGAAGAGCAAAGATGTCTCCTTGAGGACTAAGGTGTGCCTGACCCAAACCATGGTATTTTTAATAACCTCACATGCATGTAAAAGCTGGACAGTGAATAAGGAAGATTGAAGAAGAATTTATGCCTTTGAGTTATGGTATTGGAGGAGAGTATTGAAGGTGCCATGGTCTGCCAAATGAACCAATAGCACTGTTTTGGAAGAAGTGCAGCCAGAATGCTCCCTGGAGGCCAAGATGGCCGAACTTCAGATGGCTTATTGTCAGGAGGGATCAGCCACTGGAGAAGGATATCATGTTTGGTAAGGTGGAGGGTCAGAGAAAAAGAAGAAGACCCTCAACGAGATGGATTGGCCAAGTAGCAGCATCGATGGACTCAAGCGTGGGAACAGTAGTGAGGTTGGCCCAGGATCGGACAGTGTTTTGTTCTGCTGTGCATAAGTTTGCTATGGGTCATTACCAACTCAATGGCACCTAACAACAACAACAAGGATATCTTGGAGTGTTTCTTAAGATAAAACGGTAATGGCTTCTGGAATTGTGGTAAGTGTTTTTCCCCATTTGATGGGCATTTCTTAAAAGGTTTTCATATTAAGATTTATCTACTTAGTAGACAATATCGTAATTCTCTCCATTCTATGGGGTTAAACTTTGATAAGTGTATGGTGTTTGCTGTTTCATTCCTACTGGTTTAATTTGCCTGGAGAAGACGGTTGTGTTAATGAAGCCATGTAGCCTTGGGCAGGTTCACTGAAGGCTGGATGGGACTTTATTGTGGGTATGTGTAGGAAGGAGGGAAATGGGCAGTTTTTTGTGCTCTAAACCCTAGAATATGCAAGAATCCTCAAGATCCTTCTGTTACTCTCTGCCCCAATCCACTGTGCTTGAGATGAATCTGGGAGGTTGAAGAGATGGAGTGTGGCATTCTGATCTTAAGAAATTGGATGACTAGAGTATGGTGTGCCCATAGGTTTAACAAAGCATTGGCTTCTCTGCTGGGAACCATGCCTATGATCAGATGTGACTGGAAAGGTGGGAGGTGGCTGCCAGGTGTGCCAGGCTGGCTTCCTTCCTCACAATCGACAGCCCTTGTGTGGAAATATGTTTTCCCCAAGAGGCCAGTTGTAGAGTTATTCAAAGAGATGAACAATGACAGAAACTTCGAGCCAGTTGTCCTTGTTTATGTCTGTTGTTAAAGACATATCCACAGCCTCACCTGCTAAAAGACGCTAACATCCACTTTGGGGTGCTCCTGCTATTGTTCTTGTCATCTCTGAAGTTCTATGTGCTTGAGACACACCGACGTTAGCCACTGAAGGCAGAGCTGTCAGACTCACCAGAAGCAGAGTAGTTCATTACCCCCAGTCTCTAGGAGCTCAGGGAGGGTTCGCATGGTCCAAGGGATGAAGAGTAGAGGAATGAGCACAACAGGTGGTGGTTTGAGCATTATCCTCAGGAGGTGTGTGCTGCCAGGGGCTGGTAGTATGCAGTTCCTTCCTGGCATTTCCAAGGCAAGCTGGCTAGTAGGCATCCCAATGACGCTGTGATTCTTGGCAGTCTGAGAAAGACCCTGCAGGTAGGCTGCCTCAGACTGATCCTCTGGGGGAGTAGGGAGGAGGAAAAGGGGTGGTGGCTCTGGTGACATTGCAGCCATGCTCAGCCCTCTCTGTCACACAACTGACTCTTCTGGCCAGTGAGCGAGCTGACTGTGGAGGTCTGCCCTGGATGTGGAGGGAGCTCCAGGGACTAGCCTGTTACTTTGGTGCAAAGCTGAGTCACATGTAGACCTAGAAAGGGAATATGTAGACCTAGTGGGAAGAAGCCATGAGTTCTCCACTCTGGTGACTCTCTGCTTTTGTCATTCCCTAGCCTTCTAGAGTATGACACTGTGACCAAGGAAGTGAAAATCTTAATGGACCACTTGCAGTTCCCTAATGGAGTACAGCTTTCTCCCACCGAAGACTTTGTCTTGGTGGCGGAAACAACCATGGCAAGGATCAGAAGGTATGTTTGGTGTTAGCAGAGCTGCCAGTTGCTTGCTTAGCTAGTTCTGCCTGTGTGGGTGGGAATGCTGACTGATGGAGCCTAGTATCCAGCCAGCCCGTTCCCTCTCCCACTTCTCAGTATCTCTGAGCATAGCAGTCTGACTGCTGCGTGGTCTAATGCTAAAGGTGGCACCCCACCCCCACTGTGTCTGGGATCCTTTTTCTTTGCTCCAGCTGGGTCCTGGGCTTGCAAGGACCTCCATTTGCAAACTGTGCCCTCCTAAACTTTATCTGGACTAACACCAACATTGTGCTTGTCTAAAACAGTTTTCTTAAATTGTGTGGATACTGTTCAATGCATACTTGTGTGAATTTTTCAGATTCTACGTGTCTGGTCTGATGAAGGGAGGGGCAGATATGTTTGTGGAGAACATGCCTGGATTTCCTGACAACATCCGACCCAGCAGTTCCGGGGGATACTGGGTTGGCATGGCAACTATCCGCTCCAACCCTGGGTTTTCCATGTTGGATTTCTTATCTGAGAGACCCTGGATTAAGAAACTAATTTTTAAGGTAACTTGAAAACTATAATTCCCAAGACAAAATTCATCTAATTATGATCTCTTGACATTTATAGCTCTAAAGAATTCTAGGTTTGCTTATATGATTACTTTATAAAGAATATTGTTGGTGCAAATGTACACAGCAGAGCCTTCTCCTGTTCCAGAATTTATAGACATATGATCAGTGAAATTGATTAATTTTTCACATTATGTCAGCAGTTTCATTATTTCTAGTCTAGTTGTTTAATTTCCATTTACTTAATCTCCTTGCCCCCACTTAACCTTCTCATCTACATATTTAAAATAGCGTTTACCCTTTGGTCTTATATGGTGGTGTTATGTACCGAGGAGTCAGTTCTGACTCATAGCGACCCTGTACAGGGTTTCTGAGGCTGTACAACTTTACAGGAGCAGAAAGCCTCATCTTTCACCTGCGGAACAGTTGGTAGTTTCAAACTGCTGACCCTGAGGTTAGTAGCCTGATTCATAACCACTGCGCTACCAGAGCACTTTTAATAAATATATATGTATATTTTAAAATTTATTGGTGTATCTTAAACACTATACTCAAGGGTGACAATCTTTACTCTCTTTGGGCTAAACTGTTAGTTAAAGATTTCTTTAGTAGGGCTAGGACTCCTGATATAGTGCTGTAAGATCAGCGCTGGACTGTGAACCACAAGGTCGGTGGTTCAAACCCACCAGCTGCTCCTTGGAAACCCTTTACAGAGTTAGAACCTACTCGACGGCATTTATCAACAGCAGTTCCATATCAAGGTTTGAAGAGCAATTCAGGGCCATCATCTCAGGGACTCTTGAAGCCTCATTAAGATCAGTAAGTCGGGGTTCTTGAAGAATTACAAGCTCTGTTGCACATTTTCCCCTTTTTCATTAGGATTCATATATTGTGTTCCTGATCAGAACATCCAGTAGTAAGAGTTGGACACCATCTAGTTCTAGTCTCAAGGAGAGGAGACACTGGTTTATGTAGACAATTAGTCTTGTAGACAAGTTCCTTCTCTCTTGGGCTTCCTTCTTTCTTTTTTTGTTCCAGATAAGTAAAGACCAGTAGAAGTATCTTATATGGGCTCATAAGCTTTTAAGGCCCCAGACTCTACTCACCATACTGGGAGATAGAACATAAACTTTACGAACTATGTTATGTCAACTGACTAGATTGTCCCACAAGATCACAGTCCTAAGCATCCAAAACAAGAGAACTAATCCTATGAGATGACTGGTTATGTCTAGTATTAGTATCAGCATCTATACCTCCCTCCCCTATTTTTTTGGTGGTGGTGGTTGCAAAACCATACATAACCTAGCATATGCCTAGTCATCCCTTTTCCCTATGTTCAGCTTCTGTATCAATTGTTCAAACTTCACCCATATTCAGTGTCACCTTTCCTATTTTTCATAAACAAAAGGTGACTATTATCTAAAGAATAATTCTCCCTTTCCCCTCCTCTCCTTAACCCCTGGTAACCACTGATGAACATTAGTTTCTGTATGTTTCCTTATTCATGTCATTTCATAAAATCGAGAACATATGATTGTCTTTTTTTTTTACTTATTTCGCTTAACTTAATGTACTCCAGGTTCATCCATCCATCCATGTTGCAAGATATTTTGGGAACTCATTTTCTTCATCTTTGAGTAGCATTGCATTATCTGTATATTATTTAATCTATTCATCCATTGATGGGCATTTAAGTTGTTTCCATCTTTTATCTATTATGAATTTGCATATATCTGTTCCTGTTACTTCCGCTTTTTAAAAACTTTTTATGTGACTTGAGTGAAGGTTTACAGAGATCATCAATTTTACATTCAAGAAATCTTAAACTTTGCCTCCTTACAATAATTGCAATTCTCTTCATGTGCCATCAATTTATTTACGTCTGTTCATTTTAACTCTTGCATACATCCTTGTGTCTTCTGCTACCTTCATCTTTCCTCTGCCACCTCCATTTTGTTATATATTGCCTTCCCTTTTACCCAAGATAACATGAGTCTACCTTCTAGCCAGAGAATAATTTTCCATTCCCTCCCACCCCTGGCAACCACCAAAGAATTTTTTAATCAAGAAAACTTTACAACAGTGGTCTTATACAATATTTGTATTCTTGTGATTGACTATTTTTACTCAGCATAATGTCCTCCTGTCACTTCTATTATTGCTAGGATATATATCTAGGAATAGAATTTGTGGGGCATATGGTAGCTCTCCTCCGTTTTTTTTAAGAACAGCCAGACTGTTTTCCACAATGCATTTAGCATTCCAATCAGCAATGAATGAGGGTTCCAGTTTCTCCACATCCCATCCAACACTTGTTGTTTTCCACTTTGTCTTTTTGCTTGGTTATTGTTTTTATCTTAATAATCCAAGTGGAGTAAAAGATATTTTATTGTGGTTTTTGATTTGCATTTTCTGATGACTAGTGATGTTGAACATCTTTCCATGTGTCGGTTTCTCATTTGAATATCCTTTTTTGGTGAAGTGTGTTTATTTTCTTTGTCCAGTTTTTTATTGGATTATTATCTTTTTATATACACATATATATGTATATTAACACACACACACACATATATATATTACATACTAGAGTCCTTGTCAATTATATGATTCTCAAATATTTTTTTCCAGTCTGTAGGTTGTCTTTGCTCTTGATAAAGCCTTTAAATGAGTATAAATACTTAACTTTTATCAGGTCCCAGTTATATATTTTGTTTTCTGTTGATTGAGGATTTGTTGATGTGTTTGATAAAACGCTTTGCTCCTTTATTTCCTGCATTATTATTGTTGTTAAGTGTCACAGATTCAGTCTGACTCTTAGGCACCCTGTGTAGTGTTTTCAAGACTGTAAATCTTTGCTGGAGCAAAAAGCCTCAGCTGTTTAATCCTTGAGTGACTGGTGAACTCAAAACTGCTGACCTTGTGGTTCACAGTACAGTGTTTAGCCTACAGAGCTACTGAGCTCCCAAAAACTGGATGGTGTTTTGTTGTTTCAGTGCCTTGAGGTT